GGAAACATTAGGATGTTCTATAGCTGACTGGACTTTGAATGCATGAGAAATTGGTATAAGGATTTTAAAATACTCTTTTAAAAATTATACTTTAGCAAAATAGGCTACAGTGCCACATTCCAGTATCGCCAACATTCTCAAACTCAAAGTTTTGGGGCTTTTTTTCCCACCTTAAGTGAATTCAAAGGGATGTCACCATTCCCAAAGAGTGTGCGGGAACAATAATAAAAGCTAAGGCATTGCTAGCCAAGTCACACACTGGTAGAGACTCGTTAATAAGTAGCCTCCATTCTGTTAGGACAGCTCCAATACGAAGCAGCATTCTAACCCTGGGGAGTCCTGCCACAGGCATTAAGAAGAGGGAATGAAGATTTCTTTTCCAAATTAAGTTGTCAAGGAGCTCATTTACACTGCACACTGAGTGTATGTGGGCGAACTGATGAAGATGATGATTTATGATGCTATAGACACTTAAGTGATTCTAGTGATGGAAATCCACAGCAAAATCCACTTAGGAAGATAAAACAGAGCTCCTATTATCTGTAGGAGGTGAAACCACGTGGCTTTTGCCCTTACACATTGCAAGTTATCCTACTGGGTTTGGGAATAGAAGGAAAGCTCATTTACTTAGAATCCACATTTTGGTCTAAGGTTATTATACAGACTCACACACATGCCATTTTTTAAAAGTCTATATTCATTGGCTCTACTTTAAAGGAATTTGGACAAGACTCTTTTCTCTTTTTTGGAAGGAATGGTGAGGACTGGATCTGACTAATCATATCATGGGTAGCTATGCAGCATATCAAACTTAAAAATATCTCTACGTGTAGCCATCCATCTGGAGAAGCAGTAAATAGACATTTTGGGGAAATCTATCTGTAAAAATATATGTTTGAAAAATCTGAGCAAATACATCAATGATCTAGACTAATGTGTTGGTAGCTGGGGATGTCTTCATCGTGTTTCATTGAGAAACAAAAAAAGGTAAAAATGATAAAACCAAAATGGGAATTGTTCTTTAACTTCAGTATAGTTGATGGGTTTGGTCCTAAAATGCTAAGAAAATGAGTTTTAAGAGTCTCATGAGACTTGATAAGTCCTGATCTTACTCGAATTTTTAAATGTCTATGATACACAATTTTAGTGGCAATGTGCCAGCTTTAGAAATAAAATACCAATGGCAGGTAAATTCCTACATAAACAAGGCAAATGGGCAAAACCTCATGAAGTTCTGTGGTTAACCCAGTTTTACATTTTTTCATAAATGTTTTCACAGTGAGCAGCACACCCTTTGGAGACACTCAATGTGACCTGCTTCCCCGAGCCCGAGCATATTTACAGCATCTTATACACAAGGGAAGAGTTTCATTCATCTGCGGCTATGCGTGAGATTATTATATGCTTCCTACGCTGCAGAAGTAAAATGAACATTAACTACTTATTCTCAGAAACATTCTTGTATTGCAACACTTATTTCCTTATAAAAGTTTGCAAACTTATAGGGACAGGTTGACAGAACATCTTTCTGCTCTGTGTCAGGCATGAGGGAGTATCTTGTGCTTCTATTTGCTTCTTAAAGGGATTCATCAGATGTTCCTCTCACATATTTCTAGCTTCCCAGAGAATGTGGTCAATCTGTCTACTTTATTTTACATCACCATGAGAAAAATCAGGCTTAGATGCTCATTTACAAGCAACTAACATATCTGTAATAGTACTTTGAATGGCACTTCATAAGATCAACTTCCTTGGTAAGACATCCAGGAGATATTACAAATAAAAGCATGGATTCAGCAAAGGGTTTGGTTTACCTTGTATATCTTTTCTAACTCTGATGCTTGATGAAAACAGATTTGACTAAAGAAAAAAAATTTCCAGACTCAAAAACCTGTGACATCTCTACAGGATTCCATGAGTTTCCAGGACAGTATTCCACAGGCTTCCATTGCCTTCACCCTGAGGAGCCATTGTAAGCGCAAACTTAAAAAATGTAAAGATTTAATTAGACATGACTTAAAAATGTAAGGCATTAGGATGCAAAAAAAAAAAAAAAAAAAAGGCTCAGGAATTTCAGATGGTTGGAACAGTTTCTCAGGATTTAGAGTCGAATCACCAGGCTTGTATTCCAATTTAGACTATCTTTTAAGTGAAGATAGTATTGTTTTGGTAGCATGTACAGCTTAGTAGGATTAACATTCATTACTGAAAGCAATGAAATTTACTAATGTCATAATATCAGTGGCTCATTTTCTGCTACTGTTAAAAATGTTGTAGCTCTGTGATTGTATAAAATCTTGTTATTTTGCTCTGGAAAGAAAGGTGGGCTTGAACCACGCAAGATAAATAGCAACCAACAATTGAGTTAATAGGTAAATGCAAAGATTTTGATATGCTCATGCTATCATCATTCCTAATCAAATTAAACTTCAATACAGTGCCACAGTTTTTAATGGGCTACTTGAGAGTATAGAAATTTCCCTTCCTGCATGGCTAGTGGACGTTTATTTTAAACAGTTGTCATAAATGGCATGCTGAAAGGCCTGGTTTTCCAGAAATATGTCCCATTTTAAATGGTCTGGCAACCATGGGCCTGAGCTCTGGGGCCCTCTGGGCAGGACTGACCCTGGCCTGGGGGTCAAGAAGGTGGCTGCCTTATGGTGCTGTTGGGGCACCAGCCTCCAGGGACAGGCTGCAGCTATTACAAATGGCTCTTTTTTCCCCAATGCCAAGAATATGTGTTTCAGATTGTGGCTGACCTACGTATTTCTGTAGACCATGCACAGGTGCTTCATCTCCCACAAAGATCCTTGGATGAGTAGCACCCAGGGGTGAGAATGTCAGAAAAACTGTCGCCTCCAGTTTGGCTCCTGCCTAATGCAGTTTCTGGCAGCCATCTCAAAAAATAAATAAAATATGGGAGTGGAATAAACCAAATGAAGTTGCTTTCCTGGTATAAAACAACTCCTGAAAAAATGTACTTTTAGATTGGCAATTTAATAACTTATTTATTAGACAGTTTAACCAAATGACAGCCTGTGTGTAATAAAGTTGTAAATACAAAGAACTGTTTTACATATTAGGAAGCAATAAAAATAGCAAATGTTCATCCATCTTTCCGTCTCTGAAGTGCTGGCTTAAGATTTGCAGTTTGTTTCAAATTGAACAGAAGGGGTTAGGAATGAGGGACAGAGAACTAAGTCACATGGGCAATAAAACCCAGAAATAAGTAGCCAGCGTCCTGCTGTGAGTTACCAGCATTCATAAACAACACTCTCGTTTAAATGTTTGGCTCCTACTTAGAGCCATAATACTCCAAACTCTTTTTAATGAATACTTCTGGATCTTGTTGTTCCTTACAAAAAAGGAGCAGCATTTTAATTCAAATTAAATACTGCACCTCTTCTACGTTTTATCTACACTAAAACCCTCTATCAGACTTTGAAATAATCTTTTTTTTTATGTCATGGTACCTCATGCATCCCCGTCCTCAAATGTCTTAGAAATCCCTGATGCCATCCTCAAATGTCTATTTCCTTTCTACCGGTGTTCTGATTGAAATATTGGATGGGAACTTGTATCTACATCAGTGATGTTAAGTGATAAAAGCAGATTGCCGATCCATAAAGCCTTTTCAAAGCTGCACGTAGCATCTCCCCTGAAATAAATGTGTATGCACTGAAATGCATTCCAGTGTCACAACCCCAGGCCATGGCTGCACCTGTTTCTGCAGGTGTGTGTTCATGTGTGTATTTCCTCAGGAGGCCAGGGCTTGGGTATCCCAAGTCCTGATGCTTGATCTTTACTTCCACACATTCTGAGAGCTCGGAGAAGACACGGAGGAGCAAGCCAGACATCAAACCCATTTATTCTGATTCTTAAATTATAACTTTGTATCATCAATATTTTGGTTACATTGTTACACAAATGACAAATTAACATCTGGTTTGAGGTCTCTTCTTTGATTGCTTTGGGATTAGTGCCATTTCCTTAGCAGAGGAGTCCTGCACCCAGCAACCCTCAGCTGTGTTTTCATAATATTGTACAAGGTGCCGGAATGGGAAGGATCTGCAGGATTGCTCCGAAGCGCCTCCACCACTTGAACTTCAGGGACTTCCAGGTGGGGCCTGCCAGGGCTGGAAGGGCAGTGTGGCACATCTCCTCCCTTGGCAGATCAGAGGAGGGTCCTGAGGGCGAGGAGCTGGCCCAGTTGTCTTCCAAGCACCTGATCCCACACGCTCACTCGGAGGTGGATCCCAATACCTGAAAACACTGCTGGGAGGCCCCCAGCAGCCCCGCGCCCACGTGACTGGGGACTGGGTGACCACAACTCCCCCCTCATCCAATGTGACTCGGCCACCAGGCGCAGCAGGTTCTAAGCATATTCCAGAGTGTGTCCCAACCCAGCGATGTAGGCCGTGGGTCCTACAGGTGCATCGGAGAGAATGTCTTGGAAAAAATTAGCAGAATTATTCATTTCTCATGTTTACTTTGATGTCCAGGTATCATTTTTCTGGTTTGGTCTCATCCAAAACAAAATACATGGTATTTTTTTGTTTGGTTTGGTGTCATCCAGGAGTTTAACACACATACACACACACACACACAAAAGAAATAGGGGTGAGGAGGGAGAGCTGAGTGTGTGTGGGGGGTGGGGTGGGGAGTAAAGCTCTTTGAGGGAAAAAAACAAAACCACACACACACAAACAATACAAAACAAAAGTCGCAGTCCGAGTGCAAAACTTGCTTCTCCGGATAAAGCACTTCTTGACAGGTGTACAAGCCCTGCCCACCCCCCCAGGCCTCCCTGCGCCCCGGGGAGGGTACAGGAAGCAGGTGGAGCCACTCTATCTCTTAAGGCTGCACAGACACACGGAGAGCACAATTCCAGGGCTGGCCCCCAAGTTGCAGGCTCTGTCCCCCAAGGCCCCCATCCGTCCTGGGGTGGCGGCACTCCTGGGGGCACCAACACCACGAACAGACAAAAGAAGAGTCACCGGTCCCCACAATAAAATCCAATATTGACTTTACAATCACGGGGACGAATTCGCTCAAATCGATCCTTTCAAGCCTCCTGAAGACCTTGTCCTCTAACGCTAACGAGGCCAGTTCCCGCGGAATGGTCGCTATTCAAAGGAAAAACTGGAGATGCAGACGGAGCTCGTCCCCTGACGCCATCGGTCTGGTGGAGGCTGGAAACAAGGTGTCCTGATCGGACGAGTTCGGGGCCTTGGGGAGGACGGATTCCGGGGTCCAAGCAACGCGCGGCCGCCGCTTACAGGGGAAACACCAGGAAGCCGGAGAAGGTGGAGTACTTCCAGCCGCCCATGAGGTTGCCCCGCTCCAGCTTGAGGTGCACCTTGTCCTCCCTCTCCATGAGCAGCAGGACGCCGTTGCTGGCGGCCTCCCGGGTGACGTCCTGGTCCCCCGCGAAGGCTGAGATCACCGGGTACCCATTCTGCATTAAACTGACCTAAAATGCAGAGGGGGAAGCTCAGCAGAACAGCAAGGACCCCCTTCTGCACACCCCTCCTCTTCGCCACCCCCCTCGGAGCCCCCCCTTCCTTAGAGTCCAGCCGCCATCCAGGGCCCGGGCCCCTGAGGCCTCAGCTGCTGCTCCACCCAGACCCCAGCTGGCCCAGGTCTGGGGGGCCCAGTACACAGACAGTGGGGCCTGCAGGGGGGAGGCGCGACCCCCACCCAAGGCTCCCGCGGGCCGTGACCTACCTGGATGGTTTGTCTGTTGTAGACCTTGACCACGTGGAAGCTGAAGCTATAGATCCCCTTTCTCGGAGCTACAAATATACTGGAGGCGAGGTCGAAATGGTTGCCAATATTCACTAACACCTGCAAAAGAAGGGGACACAGCACGTCCCGCCAGGCCTGGGCTCAGCAGTCTCCCCGCCCGGCCGTGACCTCGGGCCGCAGGAGCCCAGCCTGGCCACCCGGCCGCCCAGGGAGGAGGCGCCGCCGCAGTGGAAACTCCCCCCAGGAACTGATTTCCAAGGGATTCTCACAGAGGGTCATTAATAAGGATGATCTCAAGACTATCCTATCGATGCACTGAACAGCGGATGAAAGTTCTGTAGGTTGGGGGCAAGGCAGAGAGCGCTGCTAGGCAGACAGGAAGGTGGAAAAGCTGCAAAGTGAGTCTGAGCAGGTCTGGGGGGCGGTGGGGGCGTCCACATCAAGCTGTGACAGTAAGAGGCGCCCTCCCGCTGGGCAGAAGGGCCAGGTCAGGTGCTAACTTCCAGCGGAGTCACTGCTCAGGTGAGGAAGCCCAGTGTGAGGGGGGTGCATACAGTAGGGGCTCACTAATGGCTCTTTAGGGAAGAGCAGGGGGCACAGACTTGGCAGGGCCTGTCTTGCCTCTTTCCTCTGAGTCGCCTCCCAGCACACTCCCTGGGTTGAACCATGACGTCATGAAATCAACTTGATTAGATGAAGGGAGCGTGGAAACCCTCCGCTCCACTCGGGGATTCCACAGGCTGCAGGGACTTGATGAGATTGGCCACGAATCCGGACCTCAGGGCTTCTCAGAGTGAAGGGGAGAGGCTTCCCAATGCCACACGCAGAACTTAAAGAGTGGGGGGTCCCACATTATGAGCCAGTCTCATTTCAGACATTGCACACTGGACCTGGACACACTGTCCACCTCCTGTCCACCTCTGTCCACTGCCCCACCACAGGCCAATGCACAGCTGGATGAAAACAGTGCAATGACCCACCCTCTCAGCTGTAAAACACACAGCCAAGGACAACATCCTGGACTAGAGACTGTCCTGGGAACAGAAAATAAACCTTAACCTTTTGCTATTATTTCTTACTCACTCCAGGTAAATAGCATGCAGTTCCCAAAGCCATTTACATGCTGCCAGCGGCACTGGGGGCCTGTGCTAACATGGGGGACCAGCCTGCATCTGCTTCTCCTCAGAGCACCTTGCAGCCCCCCAATGGCAGGACCCCCAGCGACACGCTCTGGGCTTCACAGTCAAAGATGGGGCCCTTGGGTGCCTGTTCTGACTGTCCAGGGCTCTGCCCTCAGTTGGCCTGACATGCAGTTCTAAGGAAGACGACTCCTCTATCCCAGCCCTTAGACTCAACCACCTCGACTCCCTCACCTCAGTGGCAAATTCAGGCTCCTGCTGTAGATGGAAGAACCTTCAGCAGCCCCGACACTCCGCTCTTGGTCACTGCCCCGGGGCATCCGGGGAAGCAGCCCCTTCGCCTACAGCTTATGCAGGTGTGACAGGAGAACCTATCACAACGGGACCTGCCCAGTGTCACTGTGTTGGCACCAGAATGAAATGACGGGTGGGAAAGTGCTGTGAAAACTATTTGTAGGACATCGCAATGCAAATAAAACAGCAACCGAACAACACACCAGGAAGAACTTAGAGAGCACACAGGCTCCTCCTAATCACTCCATGCTGATCTCCTCGGGGGTACCCCCTCCAGATATTTCAACGCCTTCTCAATGAAAGCAGACAAAAGAGAGATTCCCCCCTCCATGTACCAAAAAAAGAAAAAAACACCAAAACCCAAACTCCAAACACATATCCTTAACGAGAATGAGAACAAATAAATATCCCTCACTAGCCTGAAGAGAGCAGCTTCGCTTTCTGAGCGTGGATTTCTCGGATGGGGCGGGAGATGGGCAGTCGGTGGCTAAGTGCAGTTGCCGCGCAGCACCAGTCCTGCGAGCAGCGCCGCCCGAGGATCCATTTTGTGGGAAGTATTTTGGCACAAGGCAAGGCCTGACCAGCCAAAGTCTGAACCCCACTATGTGTTCAAGTTGTTTCTGAAACACAACAGCAACCCAGGGGGGTTGGGGGGTGGGAAGGGCATAAGAGGAAGGTCACAGCCTCCACTCCTGGGCTGCAAAACCCAGAGGTGGGATGGCAAGGCCAGGTCCCACCTCTGGCATTTCTTTTTTGAAATAAATGTGTGAAATCAAGTGGCTTCGGACACTTAGGTCATCGCTCTGTCCTTTTTCAAAAAACTGCAGGCAAGCCCGCTCTCCAGCTACGTCTCCACGCCGCGCAGCCTGGTCTGAGCCTCCGCATTGCACAGGGCAGGCCCCTGCTCCACTCGCACGAGCGCAGCGACCAGGGCTGTGTTGACGCAACCTGCCCTGCTCTTCCCTGAGCTCTCACCGCTGCTTTTCCTGGAAGAGCAGCATCCTTTCGAAATAGCCAAAGGCTCCCTCTTTCTGAGAACGGGCTGAGACTTCTGGAAAGTCCCCTTCCTGAGCAAGGAGCGTTGTAAACGCACCCCGGGAGGCTGGCCTGGCCCGGCGCCTGCAGCCCACAGCACAGGGGCAGCCCCTCCCCACCCCCGCGCCGCGCCCGGCGCCGGGGACAGCCCGCGGCCCGCGTGCCCTTTCGGGGCATTGTTTCAGTCTCGCAGCTCTTCCCTGCTCGGGGAAAGCAGGGGCGATTTTACGGGCTGGGCAGGCGACGACTGAGCTGCCAGTCATGAAAAAGCTACCCCTGGAAAGAGGGAACCCGGAGGCCGAAGGCGCCGGGCCGGGCCGGGCAGGGCGCGGGGGAGCCGGGGAGCTCCGCGCCCCGGGAGTCCGGCGCGTCCTCGGCGCCCGGCGCGGGGCGAGGGCAGGCCCGCGGCTGACCTGGTCGAAGTAGATGGTCATGGTGCGGTTGCTCATCTCCGACGGCTCGTGGTTGGTGCTGCGCGTGGCGGAGAAGGCCACCTTGGCGCTGCCCGAGCGCACGGAGATGCCCAGCGAGGAGGTGACGGCGCCGTCGGCCGAGGGGCTGGAGTCGCACACCACCAGGCACTTGCCCTCCAGCACGATGGGCTCCGTGTCGTTCTGCGCCCGCACCGGGCAGCCGGCGGGCAGCAGCAGCAGCAGCAGGGCCAGCGCCGCCACCAGGCAGGAGCCGCCGCCCGCCGGCCCGCGCAGCGCCCCCCGGCGCCCGGGCATGGTCAGCGGCGGCCCGCGGGGAGCCCGGCCGGGCGCCGGCATCCGGGCTGGGGGCGCGGCGCGCCGGGGCCGAGGCGGGCTGGGGCGCGCGGGGCGCGCGGGGGCGCCGAGACGCACGGGGCCCGGGGGAGCCGCTTCTGGCCTGGGTCCCCGGCCGCGGCGCTCCGGGCCAGGGTCGTCCTCGGAAGATCGGCGCCCACGGACCTGTCAGGGCAGAGAACCCACACCCTAAGAAGGGGGGTGCCGCGGGGGGGCGGGGAGCAGAGGCCGGCGGCGCCCGGACAGGCTCGCGCGCGGCCCCTCCCCTCCCCGTCTGGCACCGAGTCCCAGAACACCCCGGCGCCCCGGGCGGGGGTCCCCCGGGCGGCGGGGCGGCGCGCGCAGGCCCCCCCCCCACGCCCCAACCCGCCCCGACGCGGCCGCGCCCCCGGCCCCGAGGCAGAGCCCGCCGAGCGCGGGGCGCCCGGGCTGCAGCTGAGGCGCGGTCGCCCGCACGGTCGCGGCACCTTAAAGGGCACCTTTTCCGTCTCCACTTTCCCGAGGAGCCTCTATTTTGCCCCCCGGAGATGGTTTTTAAGCAGCGCGCTAAGTGGAGAGCGAGTCCATGTTCGATCCAAAGACAGAATCCCCCGAAAGCTCTTTGGGGGGAGGGACGGGAGGGAGGGCGGGAGGGAGAGACTGAATCAAACACCCGCTCGCCTCGCGCCCCCCGCCCGCTCCCCGGGGCGGCCGCGCCGCCCGAGCCCTCTCCGGGCGCAGGGCCGGGGACCCGGGGACCCGCACCCCGGCCGGGCTCGCGGCGCAGCTGTTGTTCCCGCTGGGCCGAGCGTCCCCAGCCGGGGGTCACCCCCGAGCTGTCCCCCAACTTAATGCGCCGGTCGCGGCTGCCCCCGCTCGCTGCGCTCCCGCCGGACAGACCGCGGCGCGGGGAAGCCGCTCCCGCGCGCCCACGGCCACGGCCACGGCCACGCCGGCGCGGAGCCCCCAAGTTGTGCCTGGTGACAGTTCTCTGTCCTCAGCCAGCCCGAAACGCTCGCGCGCTCCCCCCCACACCCCCCGTATCCCCTCCTCTCCCCTGCGCCCCGCAGACTCACCAGGGTGCTCCCCACCTCGCGGGCGCGGAACTCAGGGGCGCGCGGGCGGGAGGTGCAGGCAACTCCCGAGACCAGCGAGCCGCGCCGCGGGCAAGTTGCTCTGCCCGCAGGGGACGGGCGGGAGCTGCCGGAGGGGCCGCCCCCCGCGCGCCCCGGCTCCCGCGCCCCCCACCGCCCGCGCCGCCCGGCCCCGCGCCCGCGTCGGCCCTCGCCGGCTCCGGAGGCCGCCCCGCGCCCCGCCCCGCGCCCCGCACCGCGCTCGGCCCGACCGGGCTCGTCCCCCGCCCCGCCCCGCCCCGCCCGCCCGCGGGGCCGCAGCCTGTGGGGTCCTCGCGCCCCCCGGGACCTGCTCCGCCGACGCGCGGGGGACTCGGCTCGCGGCTCCCCCCGGGCTCGGCGCCGGCTCCCCGCGCCCGGCCCGCCCGGCCCGGCGCTCACCCCGACACCCGGAGCGAATCCTCCCGGACGCCGCCCGCGAGGCTCCGGCGCCCTAGCAGCCCCGGGCGCGCGTCCTCGGCGCCAGCCTCTCCGATCCGGACTCCGTCCGAGGCTTATTCCTGAGCGGCGCGAGCGCTTTCATAGTTGGGGGGCCAGTTTCCCGGGGGGAGAGCGCGGGATGGACAGCACGAGCTCGGGTTCCGAGGCTTCGGGGGCTGCTCCTCGGGATCCCAGCCTGGCGGCGTCGGTCTGGGGGCTGCGCGGCGCCGGCGCCGGCCCGAGCGCGCTGGTCCCGCCTCGGGGCGCCGCCGCGGAGCCCTCGGCGGAGGGCGGAGGAGGCCGGCCCGGCTGGGGCTCGGCGGCCGCGGGCGCGCGGGGGTTCCGAGCTGCGCCCCGAGCGCGGGCAGACGCGCAGCGCGGACGCGGGGCGCCCCCTACGGGCCTGCAGGCTCCTCGCGGCAGGTGCGGCCGGCGGCGCTCGCGGCGACGTGGGGCGTCCCGGGGCGGCGCGCGAGGGGTGCGGAGGGTCTTCCCCGACCCCCCGCGCGGCGCTGGCCCCGCGACGAAGCGGCGGCAGCGAACCCCGTCTCCCGGGCGCCCTGGCGCGGGGCGGGGGCGCGGCGGGGGGGACCCCGGGCCAGAGCGCACGGGCCGGGCGTCCGCGCCCCCCGGAGCGGGGCTTTAAACGCGTCCTTCCCTCGGAGACGCGGGTTCAAAACATCATTAAAAAGACTCAGTGCTCCGGCTGGCACCGCGCGTCCTGGCCGACAGGCTGCTCCGAAACAGCAGGGCCGGGGCCGCCCGCGGGGTCCGGGGAGGCGTCTTGCTCGCGCCGCCCCGTCGCGGCCTTCGGCTGGTCCCGCGGGTTCGGGGCCGCCCTCCGCGTCGGGCTGTCCAGGCCGCGTCTCCAAAACCTTTCTTGCCACACACCCGCGCGTGGCCGTGGCTTCCAGCTGCCGGGGCCTCTCAAGGGTCTCCGCCCCGAAGATGAAGATGGAATTTATCTCAGGTCAGGTCACCCGCAGGGGCGCGCGGGGAGACCCGGGAGGGGCCGGCGGGACGCGCGCGCTTACCTGAGCCGAGACGCGCGTGGCTGGAAAACCGCGGCTCCTGGGCCAGCGGTTCCCACTTGCTGCGCCACGGAGCAGAAAATGGAAATGCCCCCCGCCCCCCGCTGTTTTCCTCCTAAGGAAAGTCACTGAAAATTAGGGACTTTTCTAACACGCCGGTCCCACTGCTGGACTCGGCCAGGAAACTTTTTCCGAGCCGCCATCCTCTTGCTTGCATTTTTGTGGGGTTGGCAGAGCGAAAGAAATTGCTTTTCCTCCCTTCCCCACAGCTGCTGTATTCCAGTTTGGCATGGATGTGACACTTTTATTGTCAAATGCACCGCTCGGTCCTTCCATCGTGGAGCCTGGGGTGGACAGGCATGGATGGCGAAGGCCACTGGGGCCAGGGCGGGATGGGGGGGGGGCACAGACTGATGATTAGAGCAATTTGGTGATGCTAATTAAGTCGCAGTCCCTCTCACACATCGATCCATCTTTAAATAACAGTTCTAGCCAGCAACTGTCTTAAATGCTGCGCTATAAATTTCTTTTTGACGAATACAAATGCAAACCAGACTGTCATCATGGCCTTTGGGGGGGATTAAACCACGCTTGTAAGTGACGACGGAAAATGTTTAAATCATAGAGTTAAAGCCTTAATCTAGACCGCGAGCAAATTGACGGAACGAGAGCAGAAAGCTTGTGTAGAATGGGGGGAAAAACAGGTTCGGTTTAAATTCAGACTCGAGATTATTTTTAGAAGGAGGTTAGTCATTGCGAAAAGTAGCAGATTGAGGAAAAGGACATTATTTATTCACTGATTTAATTGATCGGTCTACCTATCAGGCGGTACTGAGGTCATGGTTGAATTTCACCCATGAATCTGCTGAGAAAACATGGGCAGAATGTGACTAAGATGTTACAGTGAAAACTTCGTCGAGTGACTGCAGAGATCGTGTTTTCCCTTCCAAGCAGCTGGTGGTTACTGCTGTCATCGCAGTGGATGGACCCCGAGCTCTTCAGTGCAGGGACATCTCCTCCGAGAGTGACAATGTGAAGCGTTTATTGAGCACCTGTTAGGTGCCGGATCGTGCACCGTTTCCTTTTCTAGGATACAACAGTGTTTAACACCCATCATCACCCCGAGTTAGAGGGTCCCGCAGAGCTGCAGAGGAAAGTAATGTGGTGTTCAAAAAAGTCACAGAGGAACGGGGATCATTCCAATTCCCATCCTTTGATTTGTCCTGAAAATTTATCGCTAATGGAGCATGCATTTATTTTCTTCTGGTGAACTAGCCCTGAGATACATCTATGTCTAACTTTGTCTTTTTTTTTTGCATCCTCATTTCTTGCTTCTTTAGATTAAGGGTATCATATTTATGATTTTGTTCTAAATGTGTGATAAGATCCCCCATGCATTTCACACACTTAGATGTGAACACTATTTACACACTTTTAAAAATAAACATATAAGCATTAATAAGCAAAAATAACTTTGTTTTACATTTTATGGAGGAATTATTGACAGATATAATTGCATGTTTTAAAAGTACATGGGTGGGCCTCCCCAGTGGCGCAGTGGTTGAGCGCTGGGTTGCGAAGCTGCCCACAGCCTCTGCGGCGCCGGTTCAATCCCCAGCTGCTCCCCGGCCACCGGAGGAGGGTCCTGCATGGCGCGCAGACCTCTCCTGCCGCCCGCTGCTCCCCTCAGCAGTGTGCTTCGGTCCTTCTGCCTGCTCTGCTCCACCCTCTGGCTCTGGTGAATTCTCTCACCCTCCCGCGCTTCTGACTGTACCCAGTGCTTGTATAAATAAATAAATAAATCTTAAAAAAATAAAATAAAAGTGCATGGGTGATGATTGAATACACCTTCATTATAGAATGGTCACTGAGCTTAAGACAATGAGCACCCATAATCTCACATAGTCACCATAGTTAATGCTTTCTAATCGATGTGGTGAGAATGCTTAAGATCTGCTTGAAACTCTTAAGACCTGCCTGGATGTTTCAGTAACTGTGACTATTAACGGTGTCAACATGCTGCCCATCTCAGAACTTACTCTCCTTAGAACTGAAAATGTGCGCCCTTTGACATGGTTCCCCCATTTTCCCCAGTCCTAGGCACCTGCCATGCTATTCCGTGTCTCTGTGAAACTGTCTGGCATGAGAGCACAGCTTTTGTCTTTCTCTATGTGGTTTATTTCACTTAGCACAACGTTCTCCGGATTCGTCCATGTTGTTGCAATGGCAGCAATCACTTCATCTTCATGCTACTATCCCATTGCGTGTGTGGAATATCATGCATTGTTTTCATCCGTTCATCCATTGGAGGGTGCTTCCATTGCTTTCATCTCTTGGCTGTAGTGAACAATGTTTGCAATGAAGTTGGAGCTGGTCACGGTGCTAGGATAGACTGAGTTGGGTCCTGGGTATATGTACAGAAGTGGTATATGGCTCACATGATCATTCACATTTTCCTTTAAAATTAAACACTAAAAATGTATTTTTCTAAAAGTATTAGTAATGTATTTCCAGTGTAATATAATGGCATGTTAGAAGGTTATTGAGATATGGAAATAATTAATAATTCTAAATATTGCATACTTCTTAAGTTACCCAT